AAAAAAAAAAAAAAAAAAAAAAGGAGCTCTCAGAGGCTTGTCCCTCCTCCTTAGAGGAAGGGGACTATGGTGCAGCAATTTGTCATGCACTTTGGAGAAAATACGCTGCCACCTCTTAGTCCTCTAGACCTCAGGAACTTCGTTGGAGTGGCAGCCCCCTGTCTCGTTTTTAATCTTCTACTCTTTGTCACAGTGTACCTTACCAAGACATCTAGTGCACTTGCTGCTTCCTCTTCTCCAGGTCCTTTCTGTATGAACTCATCAAAATAGTGGGACAGCAGCATGTCCTGTGGGATGCACAGGTCCCTGTGGAATGGACTGTCGCCCACAGATGGACAGCTGCTATATCCTTTTTTTTAATTTATTATTTTTTTTGAGACAGGGTCTCGTTCTGTCACCCAGGCTAGAGTACAGTGGTGCGATCTCAGCTCACTGCAACCTCCGCCTCCCGGTTCAAGCAATTCTCCTGCCTCAGCCTCCTGAGTAGCTGGGATAACAGGCGCATGCCACCAAGCCTGGCTACTTTTTGTATTTTTGGTAGAGATGGGGTTTCACCATGTTGGCCAGGCTGGTCTCAAACTTCTGACCTCATGATCTGCCCACCTCAGCCTCACAAAATGCTGGGATTATAGGCATGAGCTGCTGCACCCGGCTGCTGCTATATACTTAAGGCAGGTCAGTGGAGGTATATGACTCTTCCTGCAAGGTGAATGCTAAGTGTTTTTGGCAATGTCTGTGTATTTAAATGGAGCAAAGTGCACTCACCAGATTGAAGTACTTAATTATTATTAATGGATTTATTAATTCCAGTGAGGAAAATGTCTATCATTGTAATTATAATTATTAGTTACAGTTGGAGTTACCACTAGATCAAGTTTGTTATAATCTACCGTCATTTTTGATTCTCTAGACACAAGACACACAGGCTTTGGCTCATATTTTATCACCAATGTGTTGGTCACTTTGAGCAGAACACTGGCCACTTCTGGTCTTCGGTTTCCCTCTCAGTACAGTGAGCTATATCATCACAGTGAGCTCTCCTGGGTGATCTGTATGACAGCACTTCTGAGCTCAGTATTAGGAGCCAAAGCTAATGCTTCATCATGACAGAACAGGTGACATTTCCAATGGCCCCTCCTTGGATTGGTGTCTGTCCCATTGATCAAGGCATTGAGACATACAGCCATTCTGAGTTGTGAGAAGCGACTCTGTAATACATGGAGGAAAATATAAGGAAACTCCACTTGACTATCTATGCGTCCATTCCTTCACTCTAAAGTCCCTGTTCTTCCTCCCTGGAGTTGTATTGAATCTGATAAATTACATATTAGTACCTTCACTGTTGTTGTTGAGACAGTCTCACTCTCTCATCGAGGCTGGAGTGCAGTGGCGTGATCATGGTTCACTGCAGCCTCGTACTCTTGGACTCCAGCAATCCTCCCACCTCAGCCTCTTGAGTAGCTGAAATTACAGGCGTGCGCCATCATGCCCAGCTAATATATATATATTTTTTTGAAATGGAGTTTCACTCTTGTTGCGCAGGCTGGAGTGCAATGGTGCAACCTCGGCTCACCACAACCTCCACCTCTCAGGTTCAAGCAATTCTCCTGCCTCAGCCTTGAGTAGCTGGGATTATAGGCATGTGCCACCACGCCTGGCTAATTCTGTATTTTTTTTAGTAGAGATGGAGTTTCTCCATGTTGGTCAGGCTGGTCTCGAACTCCTGACGTCAGGTGATCTGCCTGCCTTGACCTCCCAAAGTGCTGGGATGACACACGTGAGCCATCGTGCCCAGCCTAATTTTTTTGTATTTTTTGTAGAGATGGAGTTTCATCACGTTGCCCTGGCTGGTCTCCTGGGATCAGGTGATCTGCCCACTTTGACATCCCAAAGTGTTGGGATTAAAAGCATGAGCCACCATGCCCAGCCCAATTTTTACATGTATTTTAAAAATTATGTGTTCCAACAGACCTATAAGTGTAGGAACTCTCATCTCATTTGACAGCAAGGTTACCAGGACTCAAAGTAGTTAATGGCATACTTGAGGTCATGAACTAATGAATGACAGAGTCAGGATTTAAATTCAGGGTCTTGGCTGGGCGCTGTGGCTCACGCCTGTAATTCCAGCACTCTGGGAGGCCAAGGCAGGTGGGTCACCTGAGGTCAGGAGTTTGAGACCTGCCTGGCCAACAGGGAAAAACCCCATCTCTACTAAAAATACAAAAATTAGCTGGATGTGGTGGCATGCGCTGGTAATCCCAGCCACTCTGGAGGCTGAGGCACAAGAATAGCTTGAACCTGGGAGATGGAGGTTGCAGTGAGCCAAGATTGCACCACTACATTCTAGCCTGGGTAACACAGCAAGACTTTGTCTCAAAAAAAACCAAAAAACAAAAAAAAACCAAACTCCTGGGCTCAAGCAGTCCTCCCACCTCAGCCTCCCAAGGTGCTGGAATTATAGGCATAAACCACCACCCCTGGCCAGTCCCTTCATTTTCAAAAAGTTTGGGGAGAACAGTACTTAATCTGAAGGGGGAAGGCCATACCACATAAATTCTGTTATTTCAAGCTTTGCTGTAGGCTGAAGGGAGAGTAATTGGGGTGCATGGCGGGGGAGGGGAGTGGGAATATTCACCTGAAGGCATACCATAGGTGAGCCTAGGTATAATGGTCATTTCCGTTCATGCAGTTTAGACTCTTTGAAACACAAATACACACACATATGTGTGTGTGTGATCAGGGCTTGTTAGAGTTGCAAAGAGTGGTCCCCAAGGATGGTCCCTCTGGACTGAACCACAGCCTCTCTTTCTGTGTGTTTCACTTCCCCCAAGGAAGAAGTCCCTCCTGGTGAATAACATCTTTGTGGTGTTGGCAGCGATTCTGTTTGGATTCAGCCGCAAAGCAGGCTCCTTTGAGATGATCATGCTGGGAAGACTGCTTGTGGGAGTCAGTGCAGGTATGGGGTGGGGGCTTCTCGTCCTACCTCTCTATGCCTATTTATTCATAAATTCATTAATTTCTTTTATTTCATTTCTTCCCTCATTTCCTCCCTTTATTTATTTATTTATTTATTTGTTTGTTTGTTTGTTTAATTTTATTTTTTTGAGATAGAGTCTCACTCTGTCGCCCAGGCTGGAGTGCAGTGGCGCCATCTCGGCTCACTGCAAGCTCTGCCTCCTGGGTTCATGCCATTCTCCTGCCTCAGCCTCCTGAGTAGCTGGGACTACAGGCTCCCACCACCATGCCTGGCTAATTTTTTGTATTTTTAGTAGAGACGGGGTTTCACTGTGTTAGCCAGGATGGTCTTGATCTCCTGACCTTGTGATCCGCCTGCCTCAGCCTCCCAAAGTGCTGGGATTACAGGCGTGAGCCACCGCACCCAGCCTCATTTATTTATTTTTTGTTTATGCCTACCTTTGTCACAAAAGGATGAAATATAGTTTATCTTAAAAGACTCATATGACTAGATATTTAAAGTAGGTACAGAACAATGGAAAAGTTGTGTAGGGGTGGGGGAATAAACACCTGCAAACTAACACTAACAGAGGTCCCATGTTTGAGTAACACTGTAAGCCATGAGCTTCCTGGCAGCCAAAGTATAAAAGGATATAGGATGAGTTTTCTGATCTTCCCTCAGAAGCAGAATGGCCTGTTACGTACTCCTCGGTTTGTTGGGCTTTTCATGTGAGAGAGCAGAATTTTGAGCACATCCACCTGGGCTTTTAAGGGCTCCAACACAGCTTCCTTAGAGCCCTTCACTCAGGTCCCAGTGATGGGACCTAGGAAGTTCCCACGAACATGTGGGACTGTGGCCAGGGACCAGGATGGGAGCGGATCTGGGAAAGCCCTCTCTCAGAAGTTCTGAGGAGTGGAGTTGGGATCCTGTTGGCCCTTCAGCAGGTGAAGCAGAACCCCTCAGAGTGTGGGGGGTGAGGGATCAGCCCTCAGTGCCAGGATCCAGTTGAGTGGCTGGACAGTGCTGAGTGGGGCAGGGAAGACAGGCCGATGTCATGGAGGGAAGTCCCAGCCGGTGGCTGATGTGCCTCTGCTGTGCACACGTCCAGGCGTGAGCATGAATATCCAGCCCATGTACCTGGGGGAGAGCGCCCCTAAGGAGCTCCGAGGAGCTGTGGCCATGAGCTCAGCCATCTTTACCGCTCTGGGGATCGTGATGGGACAGGTGGTCGGACTCAGGTAAGCACCCCTCCCCCACATGCATTCAGTATTTCGGAGATACCAGTAAAAACCTTTCTTCACCTAAATGTCTCCCCTACCCACTAGTAGATTAAAGCATTGTTGCTTTGCATGAAGGCATCGAATCCTCTATCCACATCTCTGCTGCCAATTCACAAAATGGGTATCAGTCAACATACTGCAATGTGAATCACCTTATCCTATCTTCTCCAGGTCAGGGAGCAAAGAACAGGTCTTGACAGAGGAGAGGGTAAAGATTTGGGCTTTCAAAGAGAAACCTGTTCCAGTCATTCCAGAAAAAAGAGGAGAACGCAGAGCCTGGACTCTTGGGAAGGGGAGTTGCTAGGGATGAGGTGGGGCAGTGTCCCTGTCCTCTCTTGGTCCCAGCCTGGGTGGGAGGGATCTTGATGTTCAGACCCAGACTTGGATAGGAAGAGGCACGGGGCAATTGCAGACCCTCTGCAGGGAGGTGTGCAGGTGGGCAGGAGAGCAGGGTGGTAGGACTCTGGCAAAGAGGAATCTGGCCTGGCCTCTCCTCTGCCCCCTTAGGGAGCTTCTAGGTGACCCTCAGGCCTGGCCTCTGCTGCTGGCCAGCTGCCTGGTGCCCGGGGTGCTGCAGCTCGCCTCCCTGCCTCTGCTCCCCGAAAGCCCACGCTACCTCCTCATTGACTGTGGAGACACCGAGGCCTGCCTGGCAGGTGAGTCTCTGTCCTTGGGCTCCCAGACTGCCTTGACCAAGGGGTGCATCTCCTCAGAGTATATGGGTCCCCATTTCATAGGTTTCATTTATCAAGGAAAAGCTATCCCTCTCTTTGTGTCTCAGTTTCATGATCTGCCCATACCTGCCTTCAGTCAGAACTCTTATCAAGTGGCTGTCCAAACTGCCAGGCAGCAAAATGGATCAGACATAGCCACTGTTATTCAAGAACTCCAGAGTGGTGTGGAGAAACACACACACACACACACACACACACACACACACACACACACACGGTCAAACACCTGTGCAAGACCTCACCTACCCAATGCCAACTGGGTGATGGTCATCTTATCAGTCAACTATGGCTACAATAAGAATGCCTAAGGAACAACTGCCACGTTTCTGGTTTAAAGCAACAATTATTTACTGCATCTTTTATTCATTTGCTTGCCTGGCTGGCTGCGCAGCTCTGCTGATCTCAGCTGGGCTACCTCACAGCATGGGGCGGGGGACGGGGGCAGCGGTGAGGTTCAGCTGTGGCTTGGCCGGTCTGGGCTGGTCTGGACTGGAGTCATTCAGCTTTGCTGCACTTTCTGTCCTCTCACTTTTGGTACCAACGGGTTAGCCTAGGAATAGTATGATGATGGCAGAGAAACAAGAAAGCAAATCCAGTTGCAAATAAGTGCTTTCCAAACCTTTGGTCCCCTCATGCTATTAACATTCCATTGGCCAAAGGGAGTCAGTCATGCTGCCAAATCCCAAGTCAAGGGATGGGAAAATTGATGGCATATCCTCTCCTATCGCAAGGGGTGTGGATTTAAGGAGGGGTGAAGACCAGAGCCCATTAGTGTACTCTTCTCTGTCACCATGGCCACAATTATTACTTATGTCTCTCCTCTGTGCAAAATGTGTTCAGTCCCATCCCAGGATCCCCCAGAGTCTCATCCAATCATGGCATCAGGCTTGAAGTCCCAGATCTTACACCACATTAAGTCTATATGGGCCTTTTCTTGATCCAGAAACCTAGGATCTAGAAAGATAAGTCTTCCTCCCTTCCCACACTCAGCATGCAATGGTGAAAAGTAAGATGAGGTAACCGGAATTAAAGCTCTCATTTCAAAAACGAGGAAGCAAGGCAGGCATGGAGCAGTCACTAATCTATAACAATTCTGAAGTGCCCCTAGAAAAATACGGCCATGTCCCCTGCCTTGGGGGTAGGGAGTATTCTTTGTTCAAGTTCCGGCTCTGTCCCCTGCCCCCTAGGAAGGGCACCCCAGGCCATGGTTCTTTTTTTTTTCTTTTTTTTTTCTTTAATTTTTAGAGACAAGTTCTCGCTTCTCCAGGCTGGAGTACTGTGGCTATTCATAGGCATGACCCCATTGTTGATCAGCATGGAAGTTTTCTTCGTTTTTGTTTTGGTTTTTTGGTTTTGTTTGGAACAGGGTCTTACTCTGTGGCCCAGGCTGGAGTGGTGTGATCTCAGCTCACTGCAAGCTCCGCCTCCCAGGCCCAAGCAATTCTCCCACCTCAGCCTCCTGAGTAGCTAGGACTACTGGCCCGTGCCACCATGCTTGGCTAATTTTTTTTTTATTATTGTATTTTTTGTAAAGATGGAGTTTCACCTTTTGCCTGGGCAGGTCTCAAACTCCTGAGCTCAAGTGATCCATCCTCCTTGGCCTCCCAAAGTGCTTGGATTATAGGCATGAGCCATTGTATCCAGCTAGCACAGGAGTTTTGAACTGTCCCATTTCCAGCCTGGGCCAGTGCATTTCTCCTTAGGCAGCCTGGTGGTCCCTGCTCCTGGGACGTCACTATATTGATGCTGAACTTAGTGTAGACACCTGATCTGCCTAGCGTACCACAACCCAGAGCTCCTGGGCCCAAGCGATCCTCCTGCCTCAGCATCCTGAGTAGCTGGGACTCTAGGCACACACCACTATGCATGGCTCTCCATGCTTCTTGCGTCTGCCCTCTGAGATGTTTTTCCTTTTCTATCACCTTCCTTGATTCCTTCTGAAGAGGGCATTGCACAGTGTGCTGCTTTTGATGGTTGAGCAAATTTCTCAGCTTGTTTCCTGTCTACAGAGAGTTGGGGCAGGCTGGGCGCCGTGGCTCATACCTGTAATACCAGGGAGGCCAAGGCGGGCGGATCACGAGGTCAAAAGATCGAGACCAGCCTGGCCAACATGGTGAAACCCCATCTCTACTAAAAATACAAAAATGAGCTGGGCATAGTGGCATGCGCCTGTAGTCCCAATTACTAGGGAGGCTGAGGCAGGAGAATCGCTTGAACCTGAGAGGTGGAGGTTGCAGTGAGCCAAGATGGTGCCACTGCACACTGCACTCCAGCCTGGTGACAGAGCGAGACTCCATCTCAAAAAAAAAAAAAAAAAAAAGAAAAGTTGGGGCACAGAAGTCTTTATATTTCAAATTGTCCTGGTCAAAAAGCAGAGCTGGTCAAATTGTCCTGGTCAAAAAGCAGAGCTTTTTGCCAATACAACTTTCTCAAAAATGATGTGAGTTTTCTATGTATTTGAGGTTTTTTCATGTGCCAACAAACCACGCTCACAATTACTTTTGAGAGAGGCTTCTCTCCCAAGGCCTAATTGCTGTTATTTAGGGTATGTCAGGCTACCTTGAAGCAACGCCTGCAAGCCTCCTAAATGCCCCCTTTTCTAGCTATGAGGGTCTATGAGGCACTGCTTTAAGCCACACGCTTGATTGATCTTTACTATGAGTCCATGGCTTCCTGGCGGTGCTCCGGATTTGATCTTTGCTCACAGGCTTTTACTTAATTTGGGATTCTTTTGCTAGCTGGAGAGGATAGAGGTGAGAAGACATTTTTGTTGTTGTTTTCAACTAACCCAGCGTTTCTGAAATATGCTATATTTAATTAAATTTTGTTGCCTCTGAATTCTGTTTGCAAACTGGCCAGTTATTTTCTGAGCTAATTCTTCATGTCTTACAGCAAGCTTAGAATACTCATTTAACAGCAACCAGTTCATGCTTTCAACATTTGGAGTTTTCTTTGCTCAAGTCCATAAGTTCATTGAGCCCATTTTCTTTCTTCCAAGTTACTGCACTATATAACATAGCATTTCATTTCTTCAACCTTATCGCCATCCTCTGCCTGGTCTTTGAACTAATACCATATTTCACAGGTCTTTGTTATGGTAGCACCCACTCCTGGTGCCAATTTATTGATCAGCTTTCTATTGCTGACTAATAGACAATCATAACATCTCGGTGGTAAGCAAACAAACAAAACAAGCAATTGTTTAGCCTAAGCCTCTAGGTCCTCTGGGCTGGGCTGATCTAGGATGGTTCTGGCTGATATCTCTACTGATCTTGGTCATTCCTGCAACTGCAGCTCAGCTGGGCATTGGCTGATCTAGAACAGCCCCAGCGAGGGTGGCTCATCTGGGCCCCTTTGGCTGTCCATGTCTCTTTTTTTTTTTTTTTTTTTTTGAGACGGAGTCTTACTCTGGTCCCCCAGGCTGGAGTGCAATGGCATGATCTTGGCTCACCGCAACCTCTGCCTCCTGGGTTCAAGCAATTCTCCTGCCTTAGCCTTGTAAGTAGCTGGGATTACAGGCGCCTGCCACCACGCCTGGCTAATTTTTGTATTTTTAGGAGAGATGGGGTTTCACCATGTTGGCCAGGCTGGTCTCGAACTCCTGACCTCAGGCCCGCCTCTGCCTCCCAAAGTGCTGGGATTACAGGCTTGAGCCACTGCGCCTGGCCAATGGCTGTCCATGTCTCTTGTCATCCTCCTGGCTAGCCTGGAATGTTCTCATGGTGGCAGAAGAGCAAGTATAAGTGAGCAAGGCCTCTTAAGGCTCAGGCTGGAACATGGCACGCCCTCACTGCAGCCTCATCCTATTGGCCAAGCCCGGATCCAGGAGCAGGGATGTAGGCGGTACTTGCCCCTTTAGTGGGAGGAACTGCAAAATCACACAGCAAGCAGCATGGGTGCAGGGAGGGGTGAAAAATTGAGTTTGATAATGTGCTGCAATAGTCATGATATGTCCACAGAACCCCGAGTTTCTTTCTAAAGCCTTTTTTCATCCACGCTAGCAACACCCCAACAGCCCTGAGAAATGTCAGGGCCAGGAAGATCATCTCCGTCTGACCAGGGAGGCAAACAGACACAGAGAGATTGAGAGAGACAGAGGCAGAGAGAGACACACACACACACACAGACAGACACAGAGACAGAGAGTGAGCCAAGAAGGAAAGGAATGGTGTGATGGAGGAGAGGGTCCCTGTGGGGGGACCACAGAGGGGCTTGGGGAAGGGGAGCTCAGTACCCTCTTCCCTGGCTCAGCACTACGGCGACTGCGGGGCTCAGGGGACTTGGCAAGGGAGCTGGAGGAGCTGGAGGAGGAGCGTGCTGCCTGCCAGGGCTGCCGTGCCCGGCGCCCATGGGAGCTGTTCCAGCATCGGGCCCTGAGGAGACAGGTGACAAGCCTCGTGGTGCTGGGCAGTGCCATGGAGCTCTGCGGGAATGACTTGGTGAGACCCCTGCCCTGCCCCACGCCCTGGGCCCTGGAGGCTTGGTGTTGCAGGCTGCTGGGAGCCATGGGAGGTGGAAAGGAGCCCAGGCCTGAAAGCCATGCTCTCCCAGATGTACGCCTACGCCTCCTCCGTGTTCCAGAAAGCAGGAGTGCCAGAAGCGAAAGTCCAGTATGCCACCATCGGGACTGGGAGCTGCGAGCTGCTCATGGCGATTGTTAGTGTGAGTCTGGAGGGCGCCCTTCTTCCACCAGCCCTTGGGGGAGGGACCCCCAGGTCCTCTGCATTAAACCAGTTTACACTCCAGCTTATGGTGTTAAAATGTAGTGAGGGGCCGAGTGCAGTGGCTCACGCCTGTAATCTCAGCACTTCGGGCCGAGGCGGGTGGATCACGAGGTCAGGAGTTCGAGACCAGCCTGGCCAACATAGTGAAACCTCGTCTCCACTAAAAAATACAAAAAATTAGCCGGACATTGTGGCGGGCACCTGTAATCCCAGCTACTCGGGAGACTGAGGCAGGAGAATCACATGAACCCGGTAGGTGGAGGTTGCAGTGAGCCGAGGTGGTGACATTGCACTCCACCCCAGGCGATAGTGCTGAGGTGGGATCAGGAGTTCGAGACCAACCTGGGCAATATGGTGAAACCCGTCTCTACAAAAAATACAAAAATTAGCCGGGTGTGGTGGTCTTTGCCTGTAGTGCTAGCTACTGGAGAGGCTGAGGTGAGAGGAACACTTGAGCCTAGCAGGTTGAGACTGCAGTAAACCGAGATTATGCCACTGCACTCCAGCCTGGGCTGGACCAGTGAGACCCTGTCTCAATCAATCAATCAATGCAGTGAGTTAGAGAGCATCTGTTGTTTGCGGGTCACTTCCAGCACCATTTTGAGATGCGGAAACTGGCTGAAGTTGGGTGATTGATTGACCAAGTTCCTTTAGGAAATTAATAAAGTCACATTGAAGCAATAAACTATCCCCACCTCCACCACCAGCTTTCTCAGGAGACCCCTTCCCATTGCCTGCCCCACACCTCAGGGACCATGGCTGGGTGCATGGGTCTGTGCTTTCTTCCTTTGAAGTGTGTGGCAGTCGAGAGGATGGGTCGGCGCGTGCTGCTCATCGGTGGGTACAGCCTGATGGCCTGCTGGGGGAGCATCTTCACTGTGGCCCTGTGCCTGCAGGTAGCTGGGGTGGATGAGGGCTGGAGGGTCCAGGCCAGGCTAACTTCCACCTCACCCCTGCCCCGTCCATGGCAGAGCTCGTTCCCCTGGACACTCTACCTGGCCGTGGCCTGCATCTTTGCCTCCATCCTCAGCTTTGGCATTGGCCCTGGTGAGTGGGCCTAAGGGGCTCTGGGCATCCGTCATCACATAGAAGGAGTAATGGGTGACTGGGTGCACGGTGGTGGTGTGAATGCAATGTCCCCTGCGGGTCCTCAGAGACCACTTCATGCTGGGGCTTCTGGGAAGGAATGGCAGGACGAGCGCCCTGAGGGGTCCCCCATACAGACTGGGCCTGGGCTCCCACTCCCATGTCTGGGCTGGGGTAGGGGAGAGGCAGGCAGGGAGCCCTGACCAGCAGACCCCTGTCCCTGCCCCTCCTTCCAGCTGGGGTGACAGGGATCCTGGCCACAGAGCTGTTTGACCAGATGGCCAGGCCCGCTGCCTGCATGGTCTGCGGGGCGCTCATGTGGATCATGCTCTTCTTGGTCAGCCTGGGATTTCCCTTCATCATGGTAGGCCCGCCCCTCCCGCTGGGGGCCCTGCCTTAGGCTGTGTCCCTGTCATCTCAGCCTCCCGCTGAGAACCCCAGCAGGAGGCTTCCATCCAGGGAGACTGAGACTGAAAGGGAGGGGTCTTAGGGGAGCAAAGAGGGGGGCAAATCCCTCCTCACAACCTGTCATGGGCCTTCCGTTTGGGGTTGATGGAGCCATACCAGGTCTTGGGGTCTCTTTTAATCCGCAGGAGGCCTTGTCCCACTTTCTCTATGTCCCTTTCCTTGGTGTCTGTGTCTGTGGGGCCATCTACACTGGCCTGTTCCTTCCTGAGACCAAAGGCAAGACCCTCCAAGAGATCTCCGAAGAATTACACAGACTCAACTTCCCGAGGCGGGCCCAGGGCCCCACGTGGAGGAGCCCGGAAGTTATCCAGTCGACAGAACTCTAGTCCCAAAGGGGTGACCAGGGGCCAAAGCCAGCTGCTGTCCTGTCCTCTGCTTCCTGCCAGGGCCCTGGTCCTCACTCCCTCCTGCATTCCTTTGTTTAAGGAGTGTTTATTGAGCACCCGTTGTGTGCAGACATGGCTCCAGGTGCTTAGCAATCAGTGGTGAGAGTGGTGTTCCAGGCTAAAGGTAATTAACTGACAGAAAATCAGTAACAACATAATTACAGGCTGGTTGTGGCAGCTCATGACTGTAATCCCAGCACTTTGGGAGGCCAAGGTGGGAGGATCAATTGAGGCCAGAGTTTGAAACCAGCCTGGGTAACATAGTGAGACCCTCTATCTCTACAAAAAAATTAAAAAATGAGCTGGGCATGGTGGTATGTGCTAACAGCTCTAGCTACTCAGGAGGCTGAGGCAGCAGGATCACTTGAGTCCAAGAGTTCAAGGTAGCAGTAAACTGCGATCACACCACTGCATGCCAGGCCGGGTGACAGAGGGAGACTTCATCTCTTTAAAACGTAATAATTACAGACTCAGGAAATGCAGTGAAAGAAAAATACAGGTTGGCCAGGCAAAGTGGCTGGATGCCTGTAATCCCAGCACTTTGGGAGGCCAAGGCAGGAGGATCGCTTTGAGACTAAGAGTTTGAGACCAGCCTGGGCCACACAGTAAGATCCTGTTTCTACCAAAAAATAAAAAAATAATAAAATAAGCTGTGTATGGTGGTACATGCTTGTGGTCCCAGCTACTCAGGAGGCTGAAATGGGAGGATCACTTGAGCCTGGGAGGTCAAGGCTGCAGTGAATCCTAATTGAGCCACTGCACTCCAGCCTGGACAGCAGAAGGAGACCATGTTTCAAAAAAAATAAATACAGGTTGTAGTGGGTATGGATATGCATACCAGGAGGACTGACCTAGTCTGAGAGGGGAGTGATCAGAATTTTCTGAGGAATTGATGTTTTTAATCAACTTTATTGAGGTATGATTTACACATAATCAAATATATCCATTTTAAGTCTGTATTTGGTGAGTTTTGAGAAGTGTATACACTTGTGAACCACCACCGCAATCCAGATGGAACGTTTACCCTGCCCCAAGGCACCCTCATGCCCCTTTGCTATCAATAACCCACCCCAGCCCCAGCCCCAGGGAACCACTGACCTGCTTTCTGCCTCAATTAGTCAGATTTACCTTTTTCCAGAATCTGAAGTCATTCCATACTGTATGTACATATTTGTGTCTGGCTTGGCTTCAGGTACAGTTTTTGGGATTCATGCATGTTGCACGTATTAGGAGAGACTCCTTTGTATTGCTGAGTAGTATTCCCCTCTGTGGTTAGACCATGATTTATTTATCCATCAACCTGTTAGTGGACATTTTGGCTGTTTCTAAGTCTTGGCCATCATGAATAAAACTGCTGTGAATGTTCCTACACAAATCATTGTCTAAACATGTGTTTTTATTTCTTTTGTGTCTTAGTCTGTCGGCTGCTATAACAAAGAACCATAGCCTGGGTGGCTTATAAACAACAGAAATGTATTTTTCGTGGTTTTGGAGGCTGGGAGGTCCAAGATCAAGGTGACAGTGGATTCAGTGTCTGCTGAGGGCCCATGTCTTGATTCATAGATGGTGGTCTTCTCACTGTGTTCTCCTAGACATGGCAGAAGGGGCAAGGGAACTCTCTGGGGTCTCTTATAAGGACACCAATCCCGTTCATGCAGGCTCTGCCCTCATGACCTAATCACCTCCCAAGAGGCCCAAAGGCCCTACCTCCAAGTACCATCATATGAGGGATTAGGTTTCAATGTATGGGGAGGTTACCTGGGGAGGACATAAACAGTCAGTCTAGCTTTTTGGGTAAATGAATTGCTGGGCTTAATAATAAATGCATATTTAACTGTATACAAATTGTTTTCAAAAGCGATTGATTATACTATTTCACATTCTCGTTAACAATGTGTGAGAGTTCTGGATACTCCAAATCCTCACCAGCACTTGGTATTGTCAGTCTTTTCAATTTAGCCATTCTAGTGAGTGTGTAGTGGTATCTTGTCATTTAATTGTGGTATTTCCCTGATGACCAATAATGTTAGACATCTTTTCATGGCCATTCGTGGGTTTTCTTTTATGAATAATTTGTTCAAATCTTTTGTCTACTTTTTTTTTTTTTTTTTTTTTGAGACAGGGTTCTCTCTCTGTTGCCCAGGCTGGAGGGCAGTGGAATGATCTCAGCTCATTGCAACCTCTGCCTCCTGGACTCAAGCGATCCTCCCACCTCAGCCCCCCAAGTAGGGGAGACCACAGGTGTGAGCCGCCATGCCCTGCTAATTTTTGTATTTTTGGTAGAGATGGTATTTTGCCATGTTGGCCAGGCAAGTTTCAAACTCCTGACCTCAGGTGATCCACCCACCTTGGCTTCCCAAAGTGCTGAGATTACAAGCATGAGCCACCGCACCCAGCCCTTATCTGCTATTTTCAATCAGGTTGGTTGTCATTATTTTTGAAATGTGGGCATTTTTTGTACATTCTGGAAGCTAGCACTTTGTTAAATATATAGTATCATAAATATTTTCTTGCAGTCTGTAGCTTGCCTTTTTTATTTGCTTAATGCTACCTTTCTAAGAGCAGAATTTATTTATTTTTATTTATTTGTTTTTTGAGACAGTCTTGCTCTGTCACCCAGGCTGGAGTACAGTGTCGCGATCTCGGCTCACTGCAGCCTCTGCCTCCTGGGTTGAAGCAATTCTCCTGCCTCAGCCTCCTGAGTAGCTGGGACTACAGGCACACGCCACCACACTGCTAATTTTTTTGTACTTTTAGTAGAGACGGGGTTTCACTATGTTGGCCAGGATGGTCTTGATCTCCTGACCTCGTGATCCGCCTGCCTCGGCCTCCCAAAGTGCTGGGATTACAGGCATGAGCCACCTGGCCCAGCCAAGCAGAAATTTTTATTTTGGTAAAGTCTGATTTATCAGTTTTTGGTTTTTGTGATTCATGCTTTTTGTGCCATAAGATATCTTTGCCTATCCCAATGTTGCAAAGATTTTCTTCTAAATGTTGGATAGTTTTAGCTTTTACACTTATGTTGCTGATGTTGAATTTCAAGTTAATTTTTGTGTATGGTGTGAGGGGTTGAGGTTCCTTTTTTTTTGGAACAGGGTCTCACTGTGTGTTGCCCAGGAGTGCAAGTAACATGATCTCAGCTCACTGCAACCTCCACCTTCCAGACTCAAGCAATCCTCCCACCTCAGCCTCCTGAGTAGCTGGGACTACAGGTGCATGCCACCATGCCTGGCTAATTTTTGTTTTGTTTTGTTTTATTGTTTTTTTTTTTGTAGAGACAGAATTTTGCCATGTTGCTCAGACTGGTCCTGAACTCATGGACTCAAGCCATTTGTTTGCCAAAGTGCTGGGATTACAGGAATGAGTCACAGCGCCTGGTCCTTTTTTCTTTTCTTTCTTTTTTTTTGAAATGGCTATCTGGTCGTACCAGCACCGTTTGCTTAAAAACAGCCATCTTTTCTTCATTATTTTACTTTGGTGCCTAAATTAAAAAATCAATGGACTATTGTTGTATAAGAAAGAATTTCGCTTTTGTCAGGAAACAGTGACTGTTAAAGAGAAATGGTGGCAGTGGGTTCTCTGGAGAGAGAAATATGTGGGTCAGGGGATCAGTAGGGGTCTCAGGGAGATGGTGACTCTGAGCTGGCTTCCCAAGGATAGGCTCAGCTGGGAGCCTTTTAAAAGCTAGAGCCTTGGTGGCATATGCCTGCAGTGCCGGCTGAGGTGGGAGGATCGCTGGAACCCAGGAGTTGGAGATTACAGTGAGCTATGATTGCACCAGTGCACTCCAGCCTGGGCCACAGAGCAAAACATTGTTTCTACCAAAAAAAGAAAAAAAAAAAAAAAAAGCTGGAGCCACTCGGAGGCAGCAGCGTTGCGGGATGGGAATGAAGCCCCCGTGTCCAGTCACTGTGGAGTCTTCGGTTGGCAGGGGCAGCCCTCCCAGGTGCCCTGTGTGTGGTCACTCTGACCCTCTGTGTCCATCCACCCTGATCCTGCATCTGTTGACCTGCTCCCCAGCTTACCTTTGTGCTCCAAATGGCTTCCCTGGCCGCCCTGGCTGCAGACCTCCAATGTAGAGTCATGAGTAAGAATCCGTTGACAAGCACCCCTGAGATCCTGGGGTACATGCCACAAGTAGAGCAGACATCAGATGACACCCAGGTCCCGGCCTACCTCAGACCCACTTGGTGACCTGGTCCCCAGCTGGAGCCCTGCCCTCTCACTCACCACCCACCCAGCCGGAATTGGCTCTGGCCACTCTGGGAGCACAGGGTGGGGGTTGCAAGTCCCTTGTTGCCCAGGGAGCCCCTCAGTTAGGGAGAGGAGACAGGATCTCAGGACAGGACCTTGAAGACAAGGAAGGGCAGCGCAGAGAGGGGCGGGAGAGCCAGACTGGGTTTCTAGGGGGTGGTCCAGGGTGGGAGCTGACCTGTCTCTGCTGAGCCTGCATTCCAGGTGTGAGCATCGATGTCTAGCTCATGTAGCTGGAGAGGAGCCACAGCCATGCTCCCCAGCTCCAGCCTACCTCCCCAGACCCCAGACCCAGTGTGGCCTCTCCCCACCTCCCAGAGCATGTGATCAAGCCCCTCAACTAGCCCGAATCCCTCCCTCATTTGTTAATTACCAGGACCTACATGTCCCAGCTTCCCAGGGCCAGGAGACAGGGCCCAGCCCATCTGGCAGGCTCGAGTTGACTGCCTGGCTGCCAGGATCCAGGCGGCGCTCACAAGGATCTGGGCTTGCACAGCCTGCAAAGGGCCGCTGTCCATTCTCTTGTATTTGCTCTCATCCTCTCCTTTCTTGGACCCTCTGAGTCTCTGGTTCCCTCTTGTTGGGACCCAGATCACTCTGTACCTCAGCTGAATCATTTTTCCCTTCAGTTCACACATATCCACCTAGGGTCCACTACATCCAAAGGCTTCTGCCTCAGTCCTTGTCCTCAGGCTGTGCCCAGGCTTATGAGGATGGCGGTCATCCTTACCTTGCAAAAAGTAAAACAGTCTCCCAGTGACAACAATGTTCAGGGATAACATCTATGGAGGACTTTCTACGTATCAGGACCATTCTGAGTGTCTTCCAAGTGTTAGCTCCTTTAATCCTGGAAAGGACCCCATGAAATTAGTACTTTTATCCCCCTTGTTGTACATATGAGAGACTGAGTAGAAGCCGGTGGCTTGTCTAGGGTCACTCAGCTAACTGGAATGGCCAGGAGTAGACCTGGTGACCATGGACCCCAGACCTTGATCACTGCACACGCTGCGTCTGGGGCCTCACCTGGTATCTGAGGTCCGTGGCACACTGGTGCTGATCATTCAGAGTGCTCATGGGCAGTGTAGCCTAGAGTCTGTGTGCTTCCTGATTTCCTTGATCTCCATTTTATTGAGGAGGCCTTTAGGCCACCCAAGGGGTCCAGAGTGACCCGGTGGATTAGCAGTGGAGCTGAACTTGAGCCAGTGCTCTTCGAGGCTCGTGTTCTGCCCCCACTCTGGTTCATTCTGCAGGTAGCAGGGAATCATTGAAGATGAGAGAGAATCAAACACCTAGAGAGAGATGACTCTGCCCGGGGAACCCAGGCTCCTGTCTGGGTGCACACTCCAGGGCTAGATGGTGACTTCTCAGCTACTCTAGCTTCATAGGCTCATACGTGCATGTGAGCATGTGTGTGGACACACACACACGTGCACGCATACACACATGGACACACACACACACACCGCTGTCTTTAGAATCAGATCATGAAAATGCTTCCTCAGAGGCCTAGGGGTGAGAAAACTGACAGGTGGGTGGTGCCTTCAGCTGGATATGCTAGGATGGGGTGGGAGATGAGGTGACCACACCTGGGTGGCAGGGGCTCTGGGGCAGTGAATCTTTTTTTTTTTGAGACGGAGTCTCGCTCTGTCGCCCAGGCTGGAGTGCAGTGGCGGGATCTCAGCTCACTGCAAGCTCCGCCTCCCGGGTTCACGCCATTCTCCGGCCTCAGCCTCCCGAGTAGCTGGGACTACAGGCGCCCGCCACCTCGCCCGGCTAGTTTTTTGTATTTCTTAATAGAGACGGGGTTTCACCGTGTTAGCCAGGATGGTCTCGATCTCCTGACCTCGTGATCCGCCCGTCTCGGCCTCCCAAAATGCTGGGATTACAGGCTTGAGCCACCGCACCCGGCCAGTGAATCTTCTAACTAACAGATCTGGGATGCTGCCATGAGGAGGAAGAGGGAGTCAGCAGCCATGCCTGCCAATGCCTCCTGGAGCATTTGCCCATGGTTTGCAGATAATTATTGTGTCCCTATGGGTCCCAGGTTTATTATTTTTATTGCTCTTATAACAAATCAACACAAACTTTTAGCAGCTTCAAACAACACACATTTATTATCTCCCAATTTCTGTGGGTCAATAGTCCAGCGTAACGTGACTAGGTCTTCTGCGTCAGGACTCGCATGGCCAAAGTCAAGGTATCGGAAGGGACAAGGGAAAAATCCACTTCCAAGTTCAATCTGGTTGTGAGCAAAATTCAGTTCCTTGTGGTTGTACCATGAGGTCTCTGGTCCCCTTCATCTTCAAAACCAGTAATGGACATCGAGTGCTTCTCTTGCTTCGAATCTGGCACTCTGGCTGGAGAAAATTATGTGCTTTTAAGAGCTCATGTGGTTAGATTGGGTGTACCCAGATACTCCATGCTAATCTCCCTATTAGGTCCATAATCCTAATTGCATCTGTGAAGTGCTTTTTGCCAGGTAACATAGCATACTCATAGGTTCCAGGGATTAGTGCTTGTCCTCCTCCTGCTATTCTTTAGTGGGCAGGGGGTCATCTGCCTACCATGGAGGTAAGGGGTCAGGAGGTAGGCATACAGCAATGCCCAAAAAGAGACTGTCCCCACTGGCACAGTTTACTGCCTAGACATGCAGTCTTAACTCAGAAATATGGCGACAGCCTTGAAGGATAGGACAGGTGCTGGGCACATGTGGGAATGGACCAAGCCAGGTGCTCCAGGGGCTTTCCCAAGGACCTGAGGCTGAGTCAAGAACTGGAGGATAAGTTGGAGTCAGACAAGGGAAAATGTGGGCAAGCTGGATTTCAGGACCAACCCCAACCCTGGAGCCAGGAGCCATGGTACTGAAGGACAGTGTGCCATGACTCAGAGAACAAGGGAGGGTTAGGGGAGGCTCACAGGGCCTTGTGACAGTACAATCCCTAGTATCAGAGGAGACTGTTACTGGCATTTAGGCCACTTGGTGCTTATAATACCTCTATATCAGGTGAACACTATTGTCATCCCCAAATTACAGATGGGGAAACTGAGCCAAATGCCCATGCTAGTAAGAGGCAAATCATATCACTTCTTTGGGTACCCTTCTAGAAAGTTGAGGCTGACTGCCACTGGAAACAGCTGGGGAGGGTACAAGGAGATGACAAGTGGCTCAGAGGCTGTCCTGGCTATAAGAATTAAAGAGGAAAGAAACACGAAGGGTGGCTCAACAGTCAACATGGACAGATTTATTTTAGAAAACAAACTTGAGAGGGGCTTCTGGTCGAGTTAGGTCAGAGCCACACTCTCTTACAGACTAAGGATATTTAAGGGTTTTGGAGGGGGTGCTTATCATAAGTTCCAAATGTTTCTGTGTGAGGGAAAGTTTATTGTGGGGTTGGAACGTCTCTGGTTGGAGGGGAGGCTCTCTCGGGGTTGGCATGTTTCTGGTCAGAGAGGGGTTTATCTTAGGTTTGGAATGTTTCTGGTTATGCTGACATTAGCCATTAGGCTGATGTTTTGGGGCTGGATTTAGGCAGCTTTTAATTAAGAGGGAACTTAGAATGGTGGTGTTGGTTCAAGGTGGCAATGCTCCTGCTCCGTCACTGGCCAGGTAAGGCAACTCTTTGTTATGATAACAACCTGAGATTGGCAGGGGCTCACATCCAGGGGGAGCTCAGGTGCTTGCTGGTGAGGCTGCACCTTGTCATTCAGGTTCACAGGGAACAGGTCAACCAGGCCCTGGCTCTTCAGTCTTCTGCCTGGAGTGACTTATGTAATTCTGTTCAGCTTTCATTGGGCACAGGGAGTCATAGCTAAATCTGCTGCCTGGGGCTGGGAAACAGACTCCTCCCTCGAGGAGCAGCAGTCCACCATAGGGAAGTCACAGTGGTCCAGGCCAAAGGCAATGCAGCTAGTGCAGACTAGGCAGTAGTGCAGGGAATGGAGAGAAGTGGGAATAAAGGGATAGTGAAAGGAGGCACATTTCACTGGCAGGTGATCAGGTGTAGGAGGACAAGTCATATATCTGGACTTTACAGAGCAGTGGACACTCAGTCGGCTGCTGTCAGCGCCTGGGGCTTAGGGGAGTGCCCGTGGCTGGAGACATGGCATGGAGTGCCATTATTTAGGGAGCCCTGGACACAAGTAAGAGAAGATGCGACAGCAGGAGGGAAAGAGTCTGGGGCCCAGCTGCAGGAACCAACACCCATAGGCTATTTGTATAAATGGGCCATGGGGCCTCCCAACTGGAGGCTGGCTGGTGCCACGAGGGTCCCACAGGCATGGGTGTCCCTACTATATCACATGGCCTTCACCGAGACTGGTATATGGATTGCACCTATCAGAGACCAAGGACAGGACCTCCCTGGAAATCTGAGGACCTGGCCTGTGATCCACTTGCTGCCTTGTCCTCTTCCTGCTATGTCATGGCTTATCTTCTTTCACCCATTCATTCATTCATTCATTCAGCAGTATTAAGTCAATGTCTCTTGTATGCTTGGCACCTGCTAGATGGTCCCCAAGTTTACCATTAGTGGAAAAGACAGTTAAGAAATTCAGCAAGGGCTCTATGAGAGGGCATACACGGTGGACCTGACTAGGGTGTGGCTTCCCTGAGGAGCTGAAGTTGCCCAGAGGCCCAGAGAAGTGGAGCTGCGCACGTTTGAACCACTGAATCTGGTCTCGACCTCACCTCCTTCCCTTCGGTGCCTCCCAGCATCCTATCCTCTTTAAAGAGCAGGGGTTCAGGGAAGTTCCCCGGATGGTGATTCGCAGGGGCAACTCCCCTCTCACCTGCCGCAGTGACTGCCCCTCCCCATCTCAAACACACAAGCTAACGCGTGCGGGTACTGGAGCCCTTGGGGACGCGTGGCCCAAAGACTCAGGACGTACAGGGGCTCAGTGCGTGCAGTGGAATCAACTCGGCTTCATCTCTGGAAGGGCAAGGGGCCATCTTCCGGGTTCACCACCGCATCCCCACTGCCGGCACAGCGCCTCCTGGCGACTATCATCGGTGACTTAGTGAAAAGACTAAGAAAGACCCGAAGCGAGGCCGGGACAGGCCGATTTCTAGCGGCCACGTGGAGAACGGTTTCGAACAGTGCGCCGGGCTTAGCGGCGGTTGCTGGAGGAACGGGCAGAGTCGCCCAGGGTCCTGCCCTGCGGGGCGGAGCCGAGGTAGGCGGTGACGTCCCCACTGGAGGCGGAGCCGCAGCCTCGCGGGGGCGGGGCCTGGCGCCGGCGGTGGCGTCACAAAAGGCGGGGCCGCAGTAGTGTCCGAGAAGTCAGGCACGTAGCTCAGTGGCGGCCGCGGCGCGTGCGTTTGTGCTTCTGCGCGGGTGTCCGGGTTCTTCTGCCATCATGCCGATGTTCATCGTAAACACCAACGTGCCCCGCGCCTCCGTGCCGGACGGGTTCCTCTCCGAGCTCACCCAGCAGCTGGCGCAGGCCACCGGCAAGCCCCCACAGGTTTGCCGGGAGGGGACAGGAAGAGGGGGTGCCGGCCGGACGAGGGGGTCCCGCGCTGGGAGCTGGGGAGGCGACTCCCGAACGGAGCTGGGGGGACGGAGCGGGGGGAGGACGGTGGCTCGGGCCCGAAGTGGACGCTTGGGGCTTGGCGAGGTCGCTGGGGCGGGCTGACCGCGCCCCTTCTTGCAGTACATCGCAGTGCACGTGGTCCCGGACCAGCTCATGGCTTTCGGAGGCTCCAGCGAGCCTTGCGCGCTCTGCAGCCTGCACAGCATCGGCAAGATCGGCGGCGCGCAGAACCGCTCCTACAGCAAACTGCTGTGCGGCCTGCTGGCCGAGCGCCTGCGCATCAGCCCGGACAGGTACGCGGAGGCGCGGGGGAGGCGCGGGGGAGGGGCGGCGGCGCGCGGCCAGGCCGGTGACTGAGCCGCCCGCTGAGTCCAGCCTCCTCCCCGCGCAGGGTCTACATCAACTATTACGACATGAACGCGGCCAACGTGGGCTGGAACAACTCCACCTTCGCCTAAGAGCCGCCGGGCCCCACGCGGTCTGCGCTGGCTCGACCCGGGAACCCGCCGCACGCAGTGTTCTAGGCTCGCCCACCCCAACCTTCTGGAGAAATAAAACAGTTTAGAGACCAGGAGTGCCTCGGTGTTCCTTGGCTTGCGGGAGGAATTGGTGCAGAGCCGGGACATTGGGGAGCGAGGCCGGGAACGGTGTTGGGGGGGGCCGGGTTGCTCCCCTCGGAGCCTGTTCGGGAGCCCTTTTGTCCAGCCTTTTCCCTCCTACGCTCCCAACAGAGAAGCCCCAGTGTCTTTCTATTCTGTGGCCTATGAAGGGATGAGGAGAAGTTGGCACCCTGCCCTGGGCTGCAGACTCGGGATCTAAGGTGCTGTTCTACCTAGGGCCACCACGTGGGGTGCTTGAGGTGAGCCCACTACGGAAGAGGGGGAGGAGGAGTTGGAGTTGAGAGTCTGAGGTCTTCTAGGCCTAGACCTTTCTCTCAGCCCCACCTTCCCCAGCCTTCTTGATGGGCAGAGGCTAGCCAGAAGACAGAAAGATCCCACCCAGAGCCACTCACTGCCATCTGCTTTGTTAGGTGACTTGAGTTTTCAGGCGGGTGGGTGGGGGAGGTGTGGAGTTCTTGGTTATACCGCTCCGTCCACCCCTGAACCCTACGCCTGGGTTCTGCTCCCTTCAGCCACCCAAGCCCCCGCCACAACAGTTCCCTGAGGAAATTGGGCGTGGGGTTTCCACTGAGACCGTTCGTGTTCTGTGGTGCCACAGACATGTCTGTAAAGCCTTCAGTTATGTTTGGGCGCGGTGGCACACGCCTGTGATCCCGGCACTTTGGGAGGTCGAGGTGAGTGGAGTGTGACTCCTCTGCTTCTCTTAGTCTCCAGCCACGTCTCCTCCCCAGTCCCGTGTTCACTCGGTCATCCCGCCCAGCACCGGACAGCAAGATCTTCCAGAAGAGCAGTGGGGCTGGGTGGGGTGAAGATTAGAAAGAGGAAGGAGAATAGAAGCTCCAGGGAGCCTGGAAGGGTGGCACCCATCTTGGGGTGGGGTACCCCTTTAAAGGTCTCTAAAGCAAGGCCCTCCTTAGCTTACTTCCTGCCAGCCGAGGACCCCAGTGTCACTTCAGTTTCGTTAACTCAGTGAGAGGGCGGTGGAACCCCTTGTCTGCCTCCCGGCTGGGGGAGGCATGGGGGGCATGGCATGGCTCCAGCTGTAGCGGAAGGTCCCACTCCTCTCAGCCTGGCTTTCGGGCTTGAGGTTTCCTTCTTGGATCCGAGTACCTGCGGTGTAACAGGCACACTCCTCGGCCCTGGCCTTTGTCACATCCCCTCAGCTCCTGGGTGCCCCCAGCTCCAGCCTCCCAAGGCCTGAGGCAGAGCTTTGCCCAGGACCCCCAGTTCCCCCCACAACAAGCTCTTTCTGCCTCGGGCCCCACACCCCACCAAGCCCTGGCTGGCCCCCGGCCCCCACCCCACCTCAGCAGTCTTCACTCTCAGCTGTGCCACGGATGGGGAGAGCAGGGCCTCAGGGCTCCATAAGCATCTAATTCAACTCCCTCATTTCACAGATGAGGACACTGACCCCAGGATCCAGGGCATGGCCGTACACTCAATGCCATGCCCCCTACAAGGGCCCTGGCACCTGCTGTGTGAGGGCAGGAGGGTTGATGGCAGAGTCGCCCTCCAAAAACAGGTGAGTGTCTGAGGTTCTGTGGCCCCCTGGGGGCATCTACAAGGTCATGGCTCCTTGGACTGCAGGAACAAAGTGAATGTCTATGGGTTGGGGACCTATCCACTCGCCCTGCTGAAAGTGTTCCTAAGTCCCCTGGGACTAACAACCAGCCTGCCTACTGGGGAGGGCAGCTGCTACATCCTACCTTCAAGCCATACTTGCCCCCGTCGACCCCCATCCCATGGCCAGCTCCATTTCCTCCAAAGCACAGGCTCCACTGCCCGCCAGGTGGTGGGGTCTCTTCCTCAAACCCCGGTTTGACTGCCCCAGAACCTGCAGGGTCAGCCTTGGAAATACATTTCCAAGTAACACCACAAACCTCGAGGTACAGGACAGACAGGTGTGGGGCCATCATGCTGCCTGTTCTCCATCACTCTGGTGGTACCATGTCATCTGCTGAGAAAGACTCCTGGCCTACAGGGTGACCCTCACTCTCCTCAGGGCCACTGTTTGCAACGGACAGACAGCCTGGCAGGCCTTGAACCTCATTTTGTAGGTTCAAGGCCTGTCCCCCATCTGTCCACTATAAGCCTCACACACACCATTCTTCCGGGATACCCTCCCTAAGGCCACCTGGTCAATGCCCACAGGCCCTTTTGCTTCAGCCCAGGTCCTGTTAGCCGAGGTTTCCCTTTCTGGGTGTGTCTCCTGCACGTAGCTCCACCCAGTTCTGTCATCCGTTGGGCTTGTGGCCCCAGGGACCCCCTCGGGACTTGTCCATTCTGGAGAGTCCAGCAATGTAGGCTTTTCCCAAGACTTCCCACCCTGCACGTCTCCCACCTCATCCCCTCCGGGAACAGCTTCGTTGCAGAGACTCCCTCCCCACCACCCCTCACTGCCAGCCTCCATTCAGACCCCACTCCCTTCTGGGAGCTCGATTCCAGCAAGATCAGGATCAAGTCCCGACTCTGCTCCTTCTCCGGGCCTCAGTTTTCCCCATCTGTGAAATGAAGGGATTCATCAGAAGTCCTTCCCACATACTCAATCATGTAGGCATGACAGGGACATCTCACATCCTCAGAGGCACGATTAATCCAAGGAACGCCATGGGAGGGGAGGAGAGAGCAGGTGGCCTGTGCCTGCACTCAGGTCTTGATAAATTGTGAAATCTCTCCCTTACCCCTTCCTCAGAGGGCACTATTGTTCCTGATGTGCCAGCCTTGATGGCAGTAGATAGGGAGGCAGGGACAGAGACAATGTGGAAGTGTGGTCAGGTATCTACTTAGAAGTCTCCAGATGGAGCTGGGAAGTGCTAGGAGGCCAGTGAGGCCAGTCTGTGCAGCAAGGCAAGCTGGAGCAGTATCCTGCTGGGATGCAACTGAAATGCATTCACTGGGAACTGCATCCCCACCAGCCCCACACTGAAGGGCTGGCTCTACCCCTCACAGGAACTGGCAGGGCAGGCAGTGAGACAACCCTACAGCCTCTAATGCAGTAGATAAGATTAATGCAGGGCCAACCCTCATATCAGAATGGTTTTTCAGTTACCTGGACAAGTACTGAGGGAGGGGCCCCTGGGGCCACCAGCCCAAAGACCACAGAATTAGGTGGAGCTCTCTCTGTGCAGGAGACACACACAGAGATCAGCTGATCCCTGGAACTTGGGATATTTCCAGGATTTCTGGGCCACTGACACTATGTTTCTATAAAGCCCTCTTTGGCCATCTCAGTTCCTTTCCAGGCTGAGCAGTGAAAGCCAAGTCTTAGCTCTCCAGGCCTGGGCCTCCCTGAGTAATTTCCAGGACAATGTGGGGGACAGTGTCAACCCACCAGCCAACGGCCCAGATTTCCCCTCCTGGTGAGTGAGGCCAAGCCACTTCATTTCTGTGTTTGAAGCCCATGTAAAAGAGACAGAGATTGTCAGTTTCAGAAACTGACTCTGTCCCTTCAGTCCTGGAACCTCAGGCGTCATCTGGTGACCATGGGGTCTCAACTCACAGTTTAGCTCTCAAAACAGCCAGATAGAGCACTGAATTGAAAGGCTACAAATGAGAAGCTTCATCCCCCATGTCATCCCCCCCGCCCCAGTGACTTGGCTTCTTGCGTACCTAGCTCTCTTCTCAGTTTAATAGGTAATAGATTTACATAGGTCAAATTCAAAGCATGCCAAGGGGCTCCAGAGAGAAGGCTCCCTCCTGTTGCCTTCCTCCACAGAGTAATCCTCTCTCAAATTCACCAGATCACTGCATCCAGACAAGGAGACACTGGATCTCTTGGTCATCATGGTTGCTTTCTTACCCCTCTCTAATTCCTTCCCAAACATAGCTACATCCCTTCCACTGTTACATAATCCTCCAATTTTAGTTGGTCAGGGAGATGGATTCAAGACTTATCTCCCATTCTCCTTGAGTGCAGCACCCGAATAAAGCCCTTCCTCCCGGCAGTGATTGGCTGTGCAGCAAGCAATGGGACCTAGATGAAACCCCTGGTGTTTCGGTAACACATTCAGACTGTGGAACAGATTAACCCCGGCTCTCTAGAATTTGTTTTCTGAAGAAGAAACAAACACAGCAATAATGTCTTATAAAAAGGCATGAGTAACCCTAAGCCTGTAAACCCCATCCATCTGTAGGGCACCCCATCTCACAGCAAAGCATGAGTGACAGCTATGTGCTGAGAAGAATCTGAAAAGTAGCCATGCTTCCAAGAATGTCTCCCTCATAACATGATGGGATGAGTCCTTAGTGAATTGCCAACCAAAACAAAAAACACAGTTGCTAAAAAAGAAGGTTCCTCCTTTAGAATCCTTGTACTATCCTATCAAAATATTGAGAAGGAGCATCTCTTAATTGACAGTAAGGACGCTGATGACTATTAGTGAATAAAAAGCCAGAAGAAGACATGAAGGACAAGAACTTATACACATTTAACATTTTGGCCAGGTCAAGTAACTACAATAACCTATATACAAGAGAAACAAGATAAAGTATATTTAGAATACATGCGATGAGTATTAATGCAGAAATGGACATTTCTCAGAATAAGATATGACTACAGATACCATACAGAGAATATGATTTCATGCAGATGGAGAAGATGTGGGAGTTGTAGGGGAGCAATAGAAAATAAATTTCCTGGCTGGGTGCAGTAGCTCACGTCTGTAATCCCAGCACTTTGGGACGCCAAGGCCAGGAGTTCAAAGACCAGCCTGAGCAACATAGTGAGACCCTGGTCTATATAAAATATTTTTTAAAAAGTTTCCTGTACCTAGAAACAAATCCAAGATGTACTCTACAGAGAAAACTAACACCCTAAAGGTTATTGGGGAACTAAATAAATGAAGAGACTGACCATGTCTCTGCGTTGGGAACAGGCCCCCCAAAATCTGGCCATAAACTGGCCCCAAAACTGGCCATAAACAAAATCTCTGCAGCACACTGTGACATGT